GATATAAAGCTTCAAATCCTTTTTGTAGAATTTCATATTGAAATATTCAAAATAAATAAATAAACAAATATATATATATATATATATATATATAGTCTCCCAGAGTTGGAAGTGAGCCACTTCCATTATTGAAAAATTACGGTTGAAGTGAGGTCCGCGACAAAGTGAGGACCAATATACGGACCTCACTTTGTTTAGTGAATCAAATAGTTGTAATGAGTATCTCACCACAAGATATTGTCATTTAGCAAAAAAAAAATTGGACCTCATTTGGTATAAAAACCCGTTCAGCGTATATATTTCGTAGATGGAAGTAAACAAGGGCATATAGAATAGCCGTTGAATGACTAAATTGGAAATTGGTAGAACTAATAAGAGTCTACAATTCTTAGTCAACTTTAATTTCAGATGGTATGTATCTAATATGCTTCCTAAGTGCGAACTATTACAAATAAACTAATATTTAGCAGAGGGAGACACACGAGGTCTTGCAAGTGGATACAATGTAACATAAGACATTTTAATTTCATGGCGCTCTCTTTCGATTGTCTTGTCGGAGTTGACTGGTATGAATGTGCTTCCTATGGTGATCATATTACTTTCAAGTGGATATGGATTTTGTCTGAGAAAACGAATTGACTGGGGTTGTTTATTTTCTTGATTATGCTGTCGTTTTCTTCTGTAATATAATACCTCTCCAGCCAGAGTTATCATTGCCAAAGCCAAACCGAACAGTGTAGCAATGAACACGCCACCTACAACATGATGATTATATGAGGATTTTGATTTTCAACTCATTATACCTCTCATCGAAATAGTTCAATAATTTATTTCATTCATTTGAATAGTACAATACATTTTTCATTCGAATTCTAAAATTATAATGTGCAGCTTATGATTATCGTCAAATCGAAACCGAAGAAACAAATAGAAGAGTTTGCATAAGATTTTTTTTATTGAACTGAAGCTGATAACTATTTTTATTACGACTGTAAAAGAAATCAGGAGTTGGCAGTGTAACTGAAACTTTTCGATTCATGGAAATTAGAAATGAAGATTGTTTTTCAGTTTCATGGAGAAATAAATGGAAAAAATCAAATGTTTTCAAAGAAACCATTTCATTTTGAGTATAGATTCAGTTACTTGCATTCAAAGGTTTGAAGCTTACTACAGTCCTATTGAATTTTGTCAGTTCCTCCAAGCATAAATTTATTCTCAAAATTTGAAATATTGAACGGGCTAAAAAATTCGAATGTCTTGAATAATTGATGAATTTCTAATCAGTTTCAGACACTATAAACTCTGACAAGAGTCTGATTGATGAAAGTACTGTTGTCTAATCGTGAAACCATGTAACTGTGAATGAAACTTTGTTCATTCCATATCTATGATTCTTCTCATATTCAATTTTCAATTGTAAATTAGATCAAAGATCGAATATATAAAATCTAAATTTTTGTTCGGACATATTGACGTGATACTTTCGAATTTTTTTTTCACATTATCTTATCATCTTCTCTGGTCAAGGCTCATACTTTATCGAGGTATAAATATATTACCTTTTCACAAGTTGAAACATTACTGGAAGGTTAAATACTCAAAAACCAGTAATATATATTGACGTCTTCGCAAGAAATATCTCTCAAAGAATAATTAACTTCTTCAGTACCTTAAAATCGCATTTATCTCTTTTACGTAAATCATTTAGCTATTCCAAAATTTCCCTGAGATCTAAAGTGAACTGAACAACATAACATCACTTCAGCTCGTATACCCACCTAAGCTCTCCAAAGTAATTCCCTCATTATCGTCTGTATTAGGACAGTGACCCTTAGCAGAATTATTCCAATATTTGCCATGCAATTGGTCAAAGAATCTGTCTTTCTGCAGCAGTAAAATCCTAAAAAATTATATTAATCACTGCATAATTATAGTGGTACGCATTTCTTGAACATATATGTTCAAGAAATGCGTATTTTCATTGATCTTCTTCAATACCAAATTTATGATGTGTTTGAATATGGTTAACAACGTTAAAGTGAATGGTGGAGTTTTTCACGATCGAAATGTTAACAGATCTCAGATGAGTGAATGTAGTTTGAAAATTAAAATACTGAAATAAAAATATTTGGAATTAGTTTATGAAAATACTATTAAAAAATATGATAGGAACTTATGAATATTCACAATTTTACAATGTCTCACATTTAGTGTGATTTTTCACAAAACTAGTGACTTTCTATTGATTATTTTTATAGCAAACTCAATGCTGCAATTGGTAAATCTGAAAGATTGAGAAACAAAGTCAGATACAAAAGTTTTGAATCTATGTTGACTTTCAAATGAGTAGAGATATTCTGGCCTATATCCTAAATCGACAAAGATACACTGACATTTCAAGTTTCCTATGGTTCGAGATGAAGTCGTTTTTTGGTTTCATTAATAAACGGCGGATTGTTGAAAGGATGACTCAAAGGATGAAAGTATAAGAGTTGATTTGAGAGATGAGGTTTTGTTTGAGAGGTGACATGGTAAATTTTAAATGATTGAATATACATTTTTGAGTACATCAGAGACCACTTGAAGCTATTGCTCTGCTGAGACAAATCACATAGTCGTGGATTAGAACAACAGACGACTAGGTTATGAACTGAATGCTAATTTTTTTGTTGGAAAATGTACATATTGTTTATTTTATACATAAAAAATAAGTTTAGCAAATGTTCAAGATATTCGTCTTGAACCTACAGACAGTCGGGCAGTTTATTTTCGAACTCAATTCCAACATTTTGGATTTTTCCTGGGATATGTCTATCACCAGTTTTCGTAATTATGTCTCTGATTTTTCGTATTGTCTCAGATTGCGAAACATTGTGAACCACCTTCAAAAAAACGATAAGCTTCTGATTTGAAATAGCTCCAAAGGAAAAAATCGAGAGCAGTCAAATCCAATGAACGCGAGGGCAACTCCAAAGAACCACACCTATCGATCTACATGACGGGGTATGTCTGATTGTTGGAAAATGGATTTTCGATAACATCTTGATTGTTGGACACAATTTAAAGATATACTCCATCAGTTAGATTTTTCTCTGGATATACCTATGGTTTTCTTGTATTTCTGCCAAAAATTTATTTTCTCGTGAGTTTGAGTGTGAACCTTTCGAAAAATATATAAGTTTATGGGAAAGAAAGTTTTTGGCTTTCTAATACTCCATCTGATACAAAAAAAGGGATGAGAGAATCTTCCAAAGAAAGGGAGGAAGTAATCAATTTGAAAATAAGTAACTCTATACATGTATGTGTAGTTCATGCAAAGAAGTAACTTTCAGACACAAACTGAAAGAAAGTCCTCCTGAAACAGCTACTTTCATATAAACATTGAATTACACGAAAGTTTGTATTTCAAACATTCGTTGTGGAATAAGAATCAGATATCATTCACATGAGTTCTACTTTGAATGAATGGTGATGAATTGCACTCACATGGAACCCTGTCACCCTCACTGGTATACACCGATGTTTCGCCTTAAGACACTTGCCCTAAGGCTCTTCAGTACCAAATTGGATAACATTATAGAAAATACACACACTTCATCCATGAATTACGATTTTTTAATGTCACGGAATAAGCTTGATCTGCTTATGTCATCGATGACATCGTAATGACATTCATTCACCTATTTGATTTAATCCCAGCCAAGAGGAATCTTATTTGAATTGAAGGGGTTATATTTTTAGGAGTGATTAATTTTTGGGAAAGAAAGTTTTTGGCTTTCCACTATTCCATCTCTACTCCTAAAAATATAACCCCTTCAATTCATATAAGTTTATGTCTGAGCAATATCGCTCATTATGGAAGTCGGCGTTTGATAAAGAAGATCATTCATTACTGAAACAAATAATTTTCATGCAGTTTCGATTTGTAATCAAACTTTTGGCAATGACTCACAAAACTGCATCCTTGTCTCTTGAGATTATTATTGATAGTGTCTTATGTAAAACTTAGCAGATATACTGTTTCAACAATACAACAAAAAGCAAATAAAATTATTATAGATTTGGAAAAATCTGAAATGATATCAGAAAATGAAGTATGAATGATTTATATCACAATTTGGGGCGAGATTTTCATAGTGAATATCAGGTTTTGAAAACAGAAAAGGAATGTTTTTTGAAACTTCAATCACTCAAGAAAGCTAAGTATTAATATTCAATTTTTCCAATTGATTTTCTCAATTTGTAGGCGAAATTCATGAATACGACAAGTTACTGACTAATTGGACTTTTCATTCACATCATATTCTGACAGTAATTTATTGAACAGACAATTTTTTCATTATTCAACTGAAACAACAATAAAACATGAAAAACAAATATATTTGATTCAGAGTAGGTGCTCGAAATGACTATCATCCTGTTGAATAGGAAGATCCACTCTCTCTGTGGAATACTGCTTAGCATGCAATAATATTTTAGGCGTCACTCGTCGAAAAGCATCCCTTACTCTCTCCTTCATATTCTTCAGTATGGTTGAAGGAGTGTCGAAAACCTCATTCTTCAAGTATCCCCAGAGGAAAAAATCGAGACAAGTCAAATCTGGTGATCTCGCTGACCAATTTTGTGGTCCTACCCTTAAAATATCTTCATTCGGAAAGCACATATTCAAAAACTGTCCCACTGAATTTGAAATGTGCTGAAGCTCCACCCAGTTGAATCCACATCCATTGTCTGATATTTGGAAGTACATTCTCCAGAAGCTCAGGTAGATCATCCTGTAAATATTGTAAAAAATTTCGATCATTCAAGTTTCCATTGAAGAAGTATGAAGAATAATTCCCCCTCACACGGTAACAGACCATCTATTCTGGTAATGTAGAATGCGGAAACCAATAGGTGGTTCTACATATGTCTCGCTTGCTTTTAGTCAATTTTCATAAAGTACTGTTCTCAGTTTTTCACATTATGCCTTCAATCGAGGACTGCCTGCCCGGTTCTGACGATGCCCAGCAGGCTGAAACAGCTGTCTGCCAGTGGCTCTTGAATTGAAATCAAATAAATTGAATGTTATGTGAATGACTGTAGTGATCCCTACAAATATATCTAATTGAATTTTTCAAATATTTCAGTCCCTGAATGAAAACATCAGTTCACTTTATGAAATGAATATAATAATAGTTTAATAAATTTCTCAGACCTGACACTAATCAGAAAATAGAACTAAATTGAAACTCAATGGTACACAAAAAAAACTTCGTTTGGCAGATATGTTAACTTCAACTCAAACCACAATCTCATCCAAAAAAGTGTCATCATAGATTTAGTCGGTCGAACTATCAAATTTAGTAGTCTACAATATCGTGAGATATTCTCAACAAAAGTAAAAGAAACTACTAACTACCAATTCATTTAATAAATGAAATTATAACAAACGTACTTATAAAGTTATAACAGTTCGTTCTGAACAAAAATCTACATCCAAAGAAAACAAATGTGTAACAAGGTCCGTCAGAAAACATAAATAATATTGAAAAACATAATAACTAAATTTGCCATGATTCCCAGAATATCTTTGAAATCCCCTCCACTCCCCTAAAAAGTATAACGAGTATTTTGAAACATACCAAATAGATTTACAGCATCCCATGCCACGATAGTGATAAAGTTTACATTGACATGACTTCACAACTGCTATGAAATACAATTTTGCTTTAGTCAACATCTGTTCCTCATACAGTGTAGAGGTGCTATTTTACCTCGTTGATTTCTGACAAAGTGTCAAAGTTGATTATAAGATACATTCAAAGTGTCAGTGTGCCCATCATGGACAAAATATTGGTAAATTATATCACATGGCCATAGGTTATATACTTCATCAAAAACTAAGATTACAAAACAATAAAAAAATTGATAGAGTAGGCAAAAATAGAACAAGAGTGCAAATGAATAGCATCAGGGCAGCTGATAAATTAGTTATGAATACAGAACTCCAAAAAGAGAATTTAAAGGCATATATTCCAAATAACTTATTAACGAAGCAAAAACTATCAGTCGCAATACATATGCTCCCACATTAAAAACAAACAATACTTGTGTCAGATTTTAGATTTAAATTCAGACCAAGATTTTCCACCTGTTCACAGTGGTCAACCGACAAGAAATTATACACCAGGTATATGCATGTCTCAACAGACAAAGACTGAATATCTTCAAAAACTACACCTCACGATTTGATCTCCACAATTTGATCTTGTGGAGATCAAATCGTGAGGTGTAGTTTTTGAAATTACTATCGATCTTCATCAAGTAATGGCCGAATCAATCAGAAAAAAAAGACTAATATTCAGTATACAACCACAACAAAAACACCAATTCCTAACAGCACACATTGCATTGCGGAAATAGGAAACGTGCAAAAGAAATGAAAAGCATCATCACTCCTTACGAATAAAGATAACCCGCCTATGTTTCCATTCAGATTTGGACCAGAGAATCCCATTTCTTCACCTTTCACAGTAAATAACAAATAATGAGCGAGAAGAATGTATAGCAGGGTTTTTATCAGTCTTGCAAAAAGTACTCAGCGTAGTTGATACGAGGAAGTTGATGAACTGGCAAAGACAGGCATCAGAAAAGGACAACGCATTGAAAATGAAAGTGGCGCTGAAGAATGTCTAAACTTAGCAAAGAGTGAGTTCAAGAAAAATTAGGCAACAGCATGGAAATAGTATTGTAAAAACTCTGCTACACATTATACCCGTTCAGTACCAAAAATCCCAGCGGGAATATGGCACAAAAAATGAAGTATGGTCGGAAAACAATTGTCACAATAACCAGAATGAAATTTGGGCATGCATGCTATTCAGCTCATCTTTACAAAATAGGAATCGTTGATTCAAA